TCGGACCCCAATTTGAAAAACAAGTTATTGAATTTCAATCATAGTCTATTTTCACCCATGCTTAAAATAAAGTTATGAAAAATATATCAGTGGGCTAGAGCCCCCCGCTAGTTTTTTTTGTCCAGTTCAATGGATCGGCGTCCTGAAAAAACTAAAAAGAAAATAAAAAAAATTAAGTGGGGGCCAACCGAAACTGGCCAAACCTAGCACGTTCAACAATTAAATTTTTAAAAAATATAGACTAATTTTCTGACAGAATATGACAGTTCTATTGGAAAAACCCATCGATTCCCAATATTTTATGGGATTCGGATCAATCCGACTAATCCCCGGTCCAGATTAGCCGGTTTCGATCCTGATCACCAATTTTTTAAAGTTTTGACTTATAACTATCTACCATCATGCGTATGCTTTTAAGGTGCAAATTCATGGCTCTGTTTGTAATGTGATTTAGACCATAAGAAATTGTAGTGGACTCATGCGTCCAGGACGCCTACCATTCGACGAGAAACTTAATATAAGAATTCTTGATTTGTTTCTTTGTTTAATTTGCTCCAACTTCTAAACATTTTTGGTCTTCTCATTGAAATTTACTCAAATCAGGTGAATCAAATTCAAAAGATATATATGTTTACTGAATTTCGAATCTATAATTTTGGGGGACACTTCTTTGACAGTTGCAGAAAAAAAGAAGGGATTTTAGTTACAGGGGTATTTTTGGGAATGTTTATAAAATGGTGGCTTTCTCATTATTGGCACGTGTGTACCGTCCTTTTTCAAAAGCTTAATCATTGAACGCGTGCCACAATGATCTTGGGACTCACTCTCTCGCAACAGATTCCAAATTTTTCAACGCATGCAATTTGTATAGGGCCTAGCCGTTCGTGACCAAGTAAAGCTTCACCTTAGATCATCTGAAAGTTTATTTTTGGATATTAGAAATTTTCATGATTTATAAATTTTTTCTATTTTTCACTTTCATTTATCAAAAAACCCAAAAATTTAAATTATTCCTTACTGCATAAAGTTTTTGTCTTTTCTATCTTCCTACCCTAGATCTCGTTAATCATACATTATTATTCTAAATATTTTGTAAAATAACTCCATCTCCATCTCTCTCAAAACTTTATATCTCACCTCTCTCATCCTCTCTTTTCTCTCTTATTGTCTCCAACTCATAATTTGGTCACCTTTAAATTTGGATCTTTAGCTCGAGCCATTTATATTCCTCTATCTCTCTTTCTCTCTCTAGTTTTATGTAGAAAGAAAGAGAGAGCATGTTATCTCCTCTATTTCTCCATCTAGAAAGAGGGGATGGCGCTAGAGAGGGGATGTGTTAGCAGAGCTGCTCACAGTGCGGCAACAATGGCCATAGCTCGGGAACTTGCTTGCAGGATAGCAGCAATGACAATGACGTTGTTGTGGTATTTGGGATAAGATTAACAGAGGGATTCAATTCCAATAATACTTCCCATATAAATAATTCAATGAGGAAGACAATCAGTTGCAATAATCTCTCCCAATATGGCACGTCACCAGAGACGAGGTCTCTTTCTCTCTCTTCACGTCCCTCAATTTCCTGTTTTTGAGGAACTTTTTTTTTTATGAGAAACTCACCTCACTCAATCTCTATTGTATTTCTCCTTGTATTTATTAATTCCTAGTTTGAAAGTGGTTGATTTTCAGTTATATTTTGTATTTACTCAGTTTTAGTTGGATTTGGGTTTTTTGATTCACTTCACTAATTTTTTTTTTTTCGATAGAGTTCTCTCGAAGCAGGTCTCAACTGAGTTTGAGGTTTATGACTGTTCATCTTTGTTCTTTTGAAACTCTTTCCATTTTTTGGGGCAAAAAAATAGAAGCAGAGGTTTCAGAGAGAGAGAGCGGAGAGATATAGGGTTTTGAGAGAGATCGACATTGAATCATTTTACAAAATGTTTAGGTCAATAATATATGGTCAAAAGGATCTAGGGGATAGGAAGATAAAAAAGATAGAGACTTTATGCCGCAAGAAATAGTTTAAATTATTGGGTCTCTTAAGAAATAAAAGCCAAAAATATAGAGTTAAGAGATATTTTCCTAAAAAATAAGTACAAATCTTGTAAATTTGTGAACATTTATTTTTACGGCACAATGGACAGTTTAGAGATTGTGTTACAATATATACTATTTTTTTGGGTTTGAAATCTAAATTTTTCAACAACCATTGTTGTCAAGACGAGATGATTGATTTAAAGGTTTTTTCAACTCTAAAACTACAATTTTTTGTGAGTTTTTGAGTGAGGCTTTACTTATTTTAACGAGGGGTGCAGCCCTACCAAACATTTTTCTTTTTCAATTTCTCACCTAAACAGTCTAAACTGTCTCTCTTAAGTCTTCCTTGTCCGCTGGATTGACAGTGGGCGGCCGCTGGCGTGTCATTTGCAAAGCCTAAAATTTTAAGGAGAATTCATAGAACACCCCAAATTTCCAAATTAAACATAAGAAAGATTGGTGTTCCTTCAAATCAGACGCCTACAAATGTGTCGTTCACAAGTTCAAAATAGTGTTCGAAACGACCGATCGGGCAAACTAGTCGGTCCTAGCCTGATCTGATTAGTCCGATCAATTCTGACTAGATTAGTCGATTAGTGTCTCAATTTTTTTTGAAAATGAAATTTAGGTAAAAAATCTCTAAAAAATTCTAAAAAATTGTAAAAGAATGTTTAAAATTTTACGTATTTTTTAAAATATTATCACATAAAAAAGGAAAAAAAATAAATATTATAAGCATAATTGAGTTTTATAAAAAATGATGCACTTGAAGCAATACTTTTTCAGTAATCTCTCTCTCTCTCTCTCTCTCTATATATATATATATATATTATATAATATGTAATCAATATATACTATAATACTATAAATTACATTGATAAAATAAATATAAATATACAATATATAATTTAATAGGATATAATATAATATTCAAAATATTATAATATTTCAACTCAAGACCATGTTTGTTTTTTGGGTATTTTGGAATTCAGTTAAAAATGTAGGTAAAATATAAAATTGTTCGTCTCTTTGTGACAATTTTGATAAATTTCTCTCTCTCTCTCTCTCTCTCATATATGTGTCTACGTGTAGGTTTATGTGCTCCCTGGGGGCTAGTGATGTAGGTATTAGATTGAAGATCAAATCAGATGAACAACGAATAAATTTTATATCCCCCGAATTGAGGGAACTGTGGGCTTGGTACCCTGTCGGACCTGACCAACTCTAATGCGTCTGAGTCTATTTGTCCAAAGCGACAAACCCTGTAATTAGCAAATAAAAAATTTACAATAATATATAAAGTTTTAAGTAGAGAAATAGAATAAAGAAAATTGTTTCATATTCGGCTGGACCACATTTCTACAATATGCGGTCCAGAGGTGTAACGCATCCATCTTAAAGATGGATGCAAATAGGTAGTCCATCTAAAAACAAATGTAACTAATGATCCAAATATTTTTTTAATATAATTATTATTTTAAAGTTTTCATTTTTGTTTTTTTTCATATTCATGATCTTCATTAAAAATTATGAATCAAATTATATTTAAAATAATGTATTTATTGTCAAACCAGTAATTTCTACAATATGCAGGGGCGGTAGCATATAAACTGTATCCATAAAAGAATAGGAAAAAGAAAAAAAAAAGAGAAATATATAAAATATGATAAAAGGATAGCTTTGCAGACTCTGCACTGCGACACAGTGCATATTTTTAGAACAAATTGCCGATTAGTGAGTATCAATGAGTCTGATTAGTTGGTTGATTAGTGCATTGAAAAAATTCATGCATACTGACCATTGGAATCGGGCCAAATTGGGATCGGCCAATGACCGATCCTGAGTTAGTTGGCCCATTTTTTAAAAATCAGCCAATCTCTTAAATACTGTTTCAAAATTAGAAAGAAAAGTGCTTCGTTCATCAGGGGGTGCACATCCACATATGCGTCTCCTAAGGCATCAAATATCCATCTCAAACTCATAGAAACTTTGTTCAAATTTAAAAGAAAATCTTGAAACTTGTGACTCGCTCCAAATTTTAAAATGGAGTACCGGTTCTATGAGTCCCTGGATTCATATGTAGAAATACACTTCGTCTTAATAACTTATCTTTGAAATGGATCTTGGACCCTAATATTTAAGGAGTATATAATCTCTAGATTAATCTATGTCCGGACACAAAAGAAATATGAAAAATACAAAAAAGGTCCAATCTACTAAAAAATCCCTTAAATGTTCTTTATTTTTTCCCTGTTTACCTCTCAGTTTGTTGATCCCAATATAGGACCGTTTTTTTTTTGCCTTTGTTAGTATGGTTGGGCCATTTACTTTAGGGCAATTGGGGATTGGACAGATGTCCAACTGCTATACTGGCCTTTATAATGTTGTTAACATCGGACTGATTTGGAAATGACCTATCCATTGTATGCAATATCGAGCAGGTCTTAATTTTCTTTTATTTTATAGTTTTAGCGTGAAGTGGAAGGAGTTAGGGATTATAAAAGAACTAATTTAGAATACATTCTTTGAACCATTGTTCTCTCTCTCTCTCTATCCACCCAATTTCTAGAAGTTCTTGGACTCCACTGCTCTGATTGAGTATCATGGTCTGAATTAGGTATTATTATTTTTATTTCCTTGTTTGTTGTCTATAGAAAGGTGCTTTTTTATTGTGCATTGTGTTCATTACTTCAATTTATTTCTTTGTGTGATCACTTAGTTTTTGCAAGGTGAGGTGCTCTTCGTATAGTTTGATATATATATATTTTATGAGTAATGATCTTATGGGACCCTGCCCCTCCTTATATAAGACCCCTAAGGACCACTGTTACATATACTTCTCAATCTTGGGATAAAAAAAAGGTGAAACCAGCTGACCCGTGCTACAACCGGCCACAACGGGTCATTTTTTTCTCAAAAACTCCCGTTTTGCTATTCTCATCCTCGCCCTTTTTCTCTACCTCTCCGTAGCCCACTGGTTTCCTCTCATCTCTCTGCGAAGAACACTGGGACCACCCAAAATAAAAAGAGACCTTGCCCCCAATAACACCTATTTCTCTCTCGCAAGGTCACGAGGTCTTTGAGAAAGGGTAAAGAACAAAAATCAGGTATTTCTCAGTCTCTCTCTATTTTGTATCTTTATTTCTTGTTTTTATTGGGGGAAGGTATTTTTGTAAGGCATCTCTCAAGCTCTCTCAGCATCTCTTTTTTTTTTGGGGTTCGTATGTCTCGGTCTCTCTATAAAATTGTATCTCTGTATCTCATTTTTATTGGGGTAGTGTTTCTCAATCTTTGTATTTATCAATCTCTCTCTCTAGGGAATTTTAGGGCTTCTGTTGTAGAGTTTTCATCTGATGTAAAGAAGAAGGTTAGAGATGGTTGGAGAAGAAGATTGTGGTCTCTGTTTGTGGGTGTGGAGGAGGTGAAAGAGGGCACCGATAATATTAGGCATCTTCGCTTCTGTGAAGTTGTAAAGGTGGTTTTCTTTCTGTTATTTTTTTTTCTAATAATTCTCATATTTCTTGTTCTGTTTCGTCTTTCCATTGATAAAGTATGTATCTTATATTTTATTTTAATTTCCCTTTTTTTGGGTATGAAGCTTTCAAGCTATGAGAGAAAAGGATCAATTTACAGTGAATTCTTGCCTTTTCACCAAAGTTTGGAATCATGATCCTTGAGTTGAAAAAGAGAATTTGGAGTAGTGATTGCAAGTTTTTTTTGGTTCTTGTGTAGAATTCCTGATTGAGAACAACTAATCTTCACAGTCTTTCATTTTCCAGTCTTCTTATTAACTATCAGAGAAGAAAGGTATATCATCATACATTTCAATAAGGTAGGTATGATTTCACAATGAGAAAAAAAAAATATTATTCAAAGGGTTTTGGATCTCTGCATATGTTCTTGTAGATAGAAATCACAACGATTGTTTTATAATGATATTATATGATTCTAGTTGATGGATAAAGATCAACCCCAATTTTTATCCTAGTATTTGGGGACCTGTGGGGAAGAATAAACCATTACCATGTTCTTGAAAACAATGACTTTTATTTGTTAATTGAATATAGATGAATGATTTGTAGAGTATAATAGACATTCTTCTC